TCATATTAAAGTATACTCAGTGACATTAAAAGTTTTATACCCAGAAGTATTACTTTCTTGAACTTCAAAAAGTATAATCAAGTATAATGAGCAAACAGTTACTATTGATAGAGAAAAGATGTTAAATGATACTGTAAAACAATAAATAACTAGTATATTAGAACAAAAAATGAAGTTAACATCAAGCAAAAGAGGAAAGTACTGAGGAAAACTGGACGAGAATTAAAGACATCTTCTATTTGCTGTGTGTATACATTTGCAATGTCGGGATCTTTTAGTTTGTTAATGTAAATTTTTTCTCTCCAGTTCCCGATCTCCTTTTTTACATTGGATATTCTGTCTTTAAATCCTGCTTTGACGAAATAGTGATCACTAAAACTACTAGTGATGTTTGCTTCTCTAAAAGATACCTAATAAGTTAGAGCAGTGTCTTGCATCGATGATTATATGATCTATTTGGTTAATTGTTTCATTATCAGGAGATTTGCAAGTTCCCTTATGTATATCCTTATAACTAAATCGATTCTCTTTTATACTGACACCGTTATCATGATATTATATATTAATGTCTTCTGCTATTATTTGAATGTCATTTTTTGGGTACTCATTGCACTCATAGTCCAGTGCCTCAGAACATATCTTTTTCATCATTCTCTTTTTCTTCCGTTGGAGCATGGATGCTAATATTGCTAATATTTGCGAACTTCCCTGTAAGTCTTATTCGACATATCCTATCATCAACAGCTTTAAAATTATTTACACCATGTTTAACCTTGCTGCTTACACTAAATCCAACGCAAATAAATATTGACCAGAAAAAACTTTTTATTAAAATATTTAAAAACAATCAGTCAGTGAAAACATCAGTAACGTACCAATAAGTTGGTCTTTACAGTTTACTTAAACGAACTTTTCTCAAAATATTTATTACTCAAGATGATCTACACAAACAGGGTATAATCAATTCTTAAACACATCTATTTTATTTACAGGTCTCCGCTGAAGCTGCACAGAAATTTGTACGGTACTTTGTTCACAACAATGAACCATTGCTAGGTCTCTTGGACAAACTTATCCTTGCTGGATCAAATATTGCAAGAGTCTCAATTATGAGTGCATTAGAGATCCTTTTAGGAGATTTGAATGTGGACCCCTTACCATCTGAATCTTGAATAATTTTATTGTAATCACCATATATTGTTTTCCAGCTATGTTAAAATTGTATAAACTTAATAAATGTTCTTATACCTAACAACGGCAATTATTTCACTAAATGTTTATAAGTTACCGTCTAGATTTTAAAAAAATATTAGAAATACCAGAATATCAGAATTTGTGTCAAATTCATGTATAATTACAATAATATTAACATGAACGGGCAAACAAAAACCTATAATAAATAAATATTTTAGAATAGAAATAATCATATTAAAGTATACTCAGTGACATTAAAAGTTTTATACCCAGAAGTATTACTTTCTTGAACTTCAAAAAGTATATCAAGTATAATGAGCAAACAGTTACTATTGATAGAGAAAAGATGTTAAATGATACTGTAAAACAATAAATAACTAGTATATTAGAACAAAAAATGAAGTTAACATCAAGCAAAGAGGAAAGTACTGAGGAAAACTGGACGAGAATTAAAGACATCTTAAGATGTCTGTTCAAGAAACAAAATTGAGTGGGCTAAAAGCCAGAAAAAAAACAAGGGTAGATGACAGAAGAAATAATGAGACTTATTGATCAAAGAAGAGAAGTCAGAAATAAAGATAAAAACGACTACAAGAGGATCCATACAATAATCAGGCAGAAGATAAGACACGCAAAAACACAATTTCATAGTAAAGAATGTAATGAAATTTAACAGTATGAAAAGAAACACGATACACTTCATCTACACAAGAAATTAAAAGAGGTCGCTGGAAACAATTATCCCAAAGTATAGAAGATAGAAACGGACACAGGATATTAGACATCAATGAACAGTTAAAAGAATCGTAAAACTACATTTCTGAATTATTTGAAAATGAGAGAGAAGAGCACTATACACCGATTGCTATATTGGGTCCATCTATAACAGAAAGTCAGGTTACACGTTCAATGCAAACGGCAAAAAAATGGAAAAGCACTTGGTCCCGATGAAGTAAGTGCTGAAATACTAAAGTTTTTGGGAGAAAATGAAGCTCTGTGTAATCTCTTTAACAGAATTTATGACACTGGGATATTACCAACTGATTGGTTAAAGTCGACATTTGTCACAATACCTCGTCCAAGAAACATCGTCCAAAGACATGCGCTGATTTTTGGACAATAAATCTGATGAATCACGTTTTGAAGATCTTCCTGCGAGTAATACATAGCAGAAGTTACACGCTGTTAGAGGACAGAATTAGCAATACTCAATTTGGGTTTAGGAGTGGCTTGGGTACAAAAGAAGCCTTGTTTAGTATACAGGTGCTAGTACAGAGATACAGAGATATAAATCAAAATGTGTATATTTGTGCAATCGATTTTGAAAAGGCTTTTGACAAAGTCCCAAATAACAAAATGCTAGAAATATTAAAAACAGTCGGATTAGACGATAAAGATCTACAAATAATTACAAATCTATACTGGCATCAAATGAAGAGAAATAAATGAATTAAAACAGAAAATGAAAACTTAAAACCAAAGAATAGAAAACATAAAGACTGGATGCCAGAAGAAATACTACTATTAATGAATGAAAAAAATCATTCAAAACAAAAAATCCAATTAAATATATTGAAACAGATCGATTAATTAAAAAGAGAATAAAAGAAGCTAAGGAGAGAACGTTACATGAGCAGTGCCAAGAACTAGAAGAAATTGAGAAAAAATATGACTTTTTTAACATGCATAAAAGAATTAGAGAATTAACAGGAATGAGAAAATACTTCAAACTATGCAACTAAGAGGTAAAAGCGGTGCACTTATAACCGATATAAACAAAAAAATGCAGAGATAGACACAATATATAGCACAACTTTTTGAAAACAAAGAGAGAATAGAAGCACCAAAAGAATTTAAGGATGATACTGAGCCTGACATTATACGAAAAGAAATTGAATATACAATGAAACACGATAAAAGTGGTAAATCTCCCGGGCCTGATGAAGTTCCTATCGAATTACTTAAAATTGTGAATACTGAATCAGTTGATCTTCTTTTGGATCTAATCAATACCATATATAAAACAGGTATAATACCTAAAGAATGGCTCCAATCAACATTCATACTGCTTCCCTAAAAATCCAATACAAAGGAGTGCAATGAGTATCGCACCATAGCCTTAATGAGTCGTGTCTTGAAATTATTTTAAAAGTAATTCACAATAGAATACACAAGAAATTAGATGAAGGCATAAGTAATACACGAATGAGATTTATGAAAGACTGGGAACACGACATGCACTGTTTGCAGTAAGTGTTCTTTCGCAGAGATGCTTAGATATTAATCAGGAGGTAAATGCCTGTTTCATTGATTTTGAGAAGAAATTTGACAGAGAAAAGCACAATAGGCTTAAATAAATTTTATTAAATAAAAACAGAAACTAGAGACATTAGAATCATATGTAACCTCTATTGGAACCAAACAGCAAAAGTGGAAGTTGAAAATTAACTGACCGAGCATATCCAGATTCGTCGTGGGGTCCGCCAAGGGTGTTTTTTTATCACACTTGTTATTCAATTTATACAGTGAAGCCATCTCAGAATTAGTGATTGCCGAGATCAGCGAGGGCCTTATAATAAACGGTGAGTCACTTAATAACATAAGATATGCTGACGAAAAACTGCAACAGCTTGCTGAACAACTAAATATATATTGCAACGATTATGGACTAAAAATAAATTTGAAGAAAACCAAGTTCATGATACTTACAAAAGCACAAAATGTTAAAGTTAAGCTAGTACTAGCTGAACAAATTCCTTCGTACAAATACCTTGGAGCATGGATTACAGAAGATACTGATCAGACAAAAGAAATAAGATACCGCAGTGAAATTGCACGGTCAACTTTTAATAGAATGAGAGATTTTTTTTGTAATCGTGATATCAATATATCGCTCCGGATAAGAATGATTCGATGTTTCAACCCTTTTGTATGGGGTTGAAGCTTGGACACTTAAAAAATCCAACATTAAAAACCTAGAAGCATTCAAAATGTGGTGTTATCCACGTATTTTAAAAATATCATGGATGGATCGCAAAAAAAAACGAACAAGTTCTTCAACAACTAGGAAAACAATGCATAGTTTTAAATTCCATAAAAATCAGGAAATTAGAATACTTGGGACACATCATAAGTGGTGAAAAATATGAACTACTAAGGAATATAATGCAGGGTAAAATCAAAGGCAGAAGAAGCGTAGGAAGGCATAAAATCTCGTGGCTACGCAATCTCCGTGAATGGTTTGGATGCAGTTGCAGATAATTGCCATAACGATCTCCAATCTCTATTAGGAGTGGAATTTGAAGAAGAAGAATTGATACCCTTTCAAATAATGTTATACATGACTACATTTTCTATTAAAAAAAATTGAGGATGGGCCCTAACCTTATAAGCATTTAACAAAATACCAAAACTTTAATACAGTAAGATATTATAAGAAATTAAAAAATCGACGTATCCAAGTGATTTTGTTTTATCTTTAACATTAAAGAGTTCAAAGAGGGTCTTAACACTGTATCTTCTCACTGTATATCGCAGTTGTCCATTCGACGTGAACCTCAGCAACCATTAGAGCAAGGAATACACTTGGTTATGAGTTTTTTAATTTGTTTTTTATCAATTTTTGACTGAACACTACTTCATCTTTGAGTAAACATAATGTTATTTTTGAAAATATTTTAATAAACAAATTATCTTTTTTAATTATCTCATTATAAATATAATGCATTGTCCATTGTTCGTTTTATTTTAATGGCCAACACTATTATGATCTTAGAGTATAAAAGGACCAAAATTTGAACGGACACGCCTTGGTTTCAAGAACGAACAACATGAAGCTTAATTTAATATTTATTTTTGTAGTTATTTGCATTTGCGGTGTTCAATCTAACCACCCAGCACAGCCTTTCGAATTAACTGAGTAAGTGTTAAATATATATTTATTTTTAATTGTATGTCACAATGTACTTGTATAGAAAATCATCAATTCGTCCCTACCATTTCTAACTATCGAATGTGAAAAATCGGGCTTTTCAGATTCGATACCTTGTCCTTGCATTAGACGTGACACACCTTGTAGCAAAATATCGACACTGTAACTCAGGGGTGCTCAAACTTGAACTGCTGGCGATCTACCTCAATATTTTTAGACTACTTACGATCGACTCTGAGAGACTGCAAGTGTGTGTGATGCAGGGTTGTCGTACATACACGATACACCCTACCTACCTAGGTAGGGCGTACCGTAGCATATATAGATATTAGCTTTCTGCACAATATAGGTACATTATTTTAGTCAAGGTTTGGGTTAGGTTTAGTTAGGTTCATCTCTACAATATCAATGAAAAAACTCATAGTTATTCAAAATTGCGAGTTTATTTGTTGTTACAAAACAAAAGAGTTACATATGGTATTAAACTTAACTAAGAAGTGGCTTTGGATGTTAAAGCGTGGCACTGCATGTCCTCAGCATACTTTTCATAAGATGGTACGTAACCACTGAGTGCTAATCTCAAGCATGATGTCATATGATTGTCAGTTAGTCGATTACGATATTTTGACTTATTTATCTTCATTTCAGAAAATGCAGACTCGCACAAGTAAGTTTACCCAAAAAATGCCGTCAGTTGAAGGGCGATTTGCCTTACATTCGGATATTTATCTTCAGATATAAAACGCCCTAAATTTGTATCAGATACTGTAGTTTTGAGATGCATATCTGGTATAATCTGCACCAACTCATTTTCAACAGAACATGAGTTCATATTAAACTGACTTGCTATATCAGTAGCTAATTGCTCAATGTTTTTACATGAAAAAGGATAACTCATAAATGATGCTATATTTTCCAATTTACTGCAATCATAAAAACGCATTTCGAATTGTCCCAAAATATTTGATAATTCAGCCTCATACGTATCATAATTCAACTGAGGAATCCTTGCTTTCAAAGACGGAAAATGTTTCAGATCCTTTCTTTTCAGTTGATCTATCATAAGTTGCAATTTACTTTTGAATGCGTTTACTGCGCTAATCATCTTAATAACAGTTTTTCCTTTACCTTGAAGCTCCAAGTTAACGGTGTTTAAGTGCATTGTGATGTCAGTCAAAAATGACAAATCATTTAGCCATTTTTCGTTTTTCAAAATATGAGTGTCATTACCTCTTTCGTCTAGAAAAGCTGATATTTCGAGCAATAATTATTGAAACCTTTCTAGGAACTTTCCGCGACTCAACCACCTGACGTCCGTGTGAAGAACTAAATCAGTGTGTTCAGCTGACTCCCTATCTTTAAACTGCAACTGAAAGAGCCGCCGTTGCAAGCAACGTGCACGGATGGAATTCACAATTTTTGTTGCAATGCCCATAATTTCCTCCGTGTTTAAAACTTTTGAACACAAAACTTGTTGATATATAATGCAATGGAATGAAAAAAATTAAGGGAATTCTTCATTAGCTCGACACAATGCCACAAAACCGTTTTTGTTTCCAGTCATTGCTGGTGCTCCATCGGTTGTAATGCACATTAATTTATATATTGGTAGCTCGTAGTTTTTTACAAAATTTAAGAAAACGTCAAAAAGAGGAATGATTGTCAAAAATTCTTCCTTAGCCAACATGTCATTGAATACCATCCGAATAAAAGTACACAGCTGGGCAGTGTCTGTCATATCGATGGATTAGTCGAACTGTAAAGAAAAGTATGTACATTTCATGATATCATGTTTTAGTTTATCTGCGATATCTTGACTCATGACTTCAATACGCCTTGTGACAGTCGGACGAGATAACTGAAGTTCTCTAATAGCAGACATGATCTTTGTTTTATTTTTAAAATCTTCAAATAAAGTCTCACCCGCTTCAATAAATGCTTCCTTCACCACTGATCCATCTTCAAATGGTTTCTTGTGTTTCGCCAAAATATGAGATATTTTAAATGACGAGATCGTAGCAGCTTTTGATTGTTTGGCTGGTCTTGTAAACATGGATTGTTCGTTTTTCAAACAAGATATCAAATCACTTACTTTTCGTTTTCTTAATTCACTCTGTGGCGGAAAATACTTTTCATAGTTGTGATGAACTGTTTTATGATGCCTCTCTAAGTTACCACGCTTAGGTATTGCAACTGACGCACGATAAATAACACAAATGCACTTATCCTTCACCATAGTAAAGAAAAATTCTTCCTCCCAATCCTTATTAAAATGATAGGTTTTAGATTTCTTCACTGCACTCATTTTCCACTATTTAATAATAAACTTTGTATCGACGTAGGATCGCTATCAAGCTACAATTCAGAATAACTGCAATTTCTGCAGGCGCAACATTTATATCGGCGTGAACGAAAGTCTCGAATGTTCCCGTTAAACGCGCCGCCCGAAACTAGACTGTACTGTCTCTCCTCTATTAACAACACGGCTTTTCTTTGACAAGTGCCGCGCGTTCCATTGATAAAGCCACCTTTTGCCGCAAGCAATGATATTTTATTACGTAATACATTTTTGTAGTGGATAGAATATCATCCCAAATTTGATTATTAATTATAATAAATATTGAATTAATAAAATAATTAGTTAATATAAGTAAATATAAAATATGCTGTGTGGACAGTATTTTGTTGTCCCCACTTCTTTGAATTGCAATGATGCTTAGTCAAGCATTCTATGTATTTGTATAGTTCAGTATTAATAAAAACGTTTAACTCTGCAGACAGTAGTTTAGTTACCTACCTACTTATTAAATTTTTTTTTCTTCTCGAAATCTACCCAAAAAGCACTCGAGATCGACCGTTTGAGCACCCCTGCTGTAGCTTGATAAGAAACGCGGGAAAATTGTGTTTAAACCATCGAATATGAACATTTTGTCATTTTGTTTTGGTCAAAATATCGAATATACTGCAAACTGCCGAAAATTAAATATTTGATACTTGTGTTTTGTATAAATATAACTAAAGACATATTTGTACAACGCAAAATGACGAATGTGTCACATTCATTAATTTCTACTAAACTGTCAAAAATACTAAACATTGTTGACAAGAAAAAATGCATGTGTTCAGAATTGTGTGAATTATTGCTTTCAAGAAGTTCTTTCGGCGAGGCACTTTATCATTTAGTTTTTATTAATTTCTCATTATCTGATTATTCAGTGATTTTGTCACAACAAGAATAGTTTTAGGATAAGTTTTAACTGAGGTTATAGAGTTTTTATATCTGCTATTTACGAGTATAAAATCTATCTGGTTTCTGACAATTAAGTTTTCTGTATGTGAAGGAGACGTCCATAATGTATATAGTCTTCTTTTAGGAAGCTAAAACCAAGTGTTGGCAATTACCATATTCTCTTCTTGGCAGAATTCTAAGAGCCTTTCTCCTCTCTCGTTTCTAGTTCCTAGTCCGAACTGTCCAACTATATTTTCAACTGTACCTACTCCAATTTTTTGGTATGTAAAAAGTATCGTAATTTTTTTATTGTTTAAAATGTTTATAAATAGTTCAAAGATCAAATATACAAAATATGAAAACAACAAAATAAACCAAAACAATAAACCCCCTATATGAAAAACTGCAACACCCAAACTTTAGCAATGTTGGAATTCCTATAAAAAGTTACTTTGCACATTATTTACGAATATTAGCTCTACAGTTATCACACATTAATATCTTAGAAACAGTACATGAAATCTTTGTGTTTTTATCGTTTTTTCTTGAACAGAGCCCACATCTTTCTCGTTTTTGGTCCATATCGGGATGCACGTTTTCATCAATCATATTTTTGTTCAGTATTCTACTTATGCTCATTCTGAATTCTCTTGGTAGTCTTTGGTTGATAGTTCTTCTATTTTAATGTCGTTCATCGAGTTGTTTGGCGAGCAATTTCTCAAATTCTGCCCGTAGTATATTGTTAGGTTTTGGATAGCTTTGTTGTAATATATATGAATTAACTCCTGCAATATCGATGATGAAATAAAATACCGCCAGGTACTAGACGTACTAGGTCAACGCCTAGTACGTCTGCTTGAACTATAAATTACAATTTTTTTATCCAGGGCATCTACGTCCCCTTTGGTTTCATTATAAAATAAAATAATTTCAGATTTGCCAGTTTTAGCATCAGTGTATTGTTGTTGATGCATCGTAAAAACTATAAGTACAGCCTTGTTTTTCTTTGGAGTATAAGACACAATTATATGTTTATTAAAATACTTTTTTCTTCCGGTTGGGCAAAAATTCAGTAGGAATTTCTTCTTAAGCGTACCTACATACGCTAATCCTCTTTGTCGCAACTCATTTGCAAGTTCAATAGAGGAGAACCAATTGTGTGGAGTTATATTTCTTTTGGTATTTATAATAGGTTGAATAATTTTTACCACGAATTGGGTTAGTACAGCCATCTATTAATAATTTGCCGTCGCTGCCTTTGCCGGTATAAATATATCCATCAAGATCAAGATGCCAAGAAGACCTTCAGATCACAGTTGGGTTTATTTGGCATGTACCGGCTGGTCCAATAAGCCGATCTCTCGGCTATATATCAGAAACTGTTCATGTTATAACTTTAGGAGAAAAAATTCCTTAGTAAAAGTGGCCAAGAGAAATCGCTGGAAATAACTTTCAAGATTCTGGATTAACCGCTAGGGGGCGTAACCTGCGAAGAAAACTTTGAAAACCAGTTTTTTGGGAAATATGTCCAATTATACCAAGTGTTAAATAAGTTAACTAGAAAGAGGCATAATTTCTGCACAAAGTTGTTCAAGTACTTTTTTTTTTATTTTTTCAAATAAAGGGTGGGGGAGAGTGGGAAAGTATTTGTGGATAAATACCTATAACTTTGGTATGGATCAACCGATTTTAACAAAATTAGTGTCATTAGAAAGAGTATGGATGAGTTAATTTACATTTACTATAAAATAATTGTATTTAGTTTTAATTGTCGTAGGTAGAGGGTACTTTCAAATAGAAAAAATTAAAATTTGTTTTTCTTCAAAATTTTTAACGGAATTAGCTATTTATTGTAAATTATAATGAAACTGGATTAAATTCGTAACAAAATGGCACAATATTGACACACCCTGTATTATAAATTAAATTAAAAAATAAGTTAGTAGCTACTTTCAAAATTTTTTATAGCAGAAAACTCTTAATGTTGATACCTATTTTGACCATTGTTATTTCATATGATTAAAAATTGTTTTTTCGAAACTAAGTAGGCTACGACAATGAATTTGACAGGGAGTTCATATTGTTTATTTCTTGACAGCAGTCAAAATATTGTTAAGAAGTGTTATATGTATTAAAATTCAAATTGAAAATTGCATTTTTTCAATAGATATTAATATTGGTAATATTAGTAATTAATTATCAGTACTAATAATTCGTGATGAGTATATCAAATTGTATGATATGATTGGAGCTTATTTCGAATATCACCAAAATGACGCTATTGCCTCACGTATATATTCTGTAAGATATCCTATCAGGAGACATTATGGCGAAGAAGTAGAGATTTCGGACTACTTATATGTGGATTCTGTTCAATTAAAGCAAGAACATTGATTGAATTATCTTCGGTCATAACTCTACTACGTCGTTTAAAACAAGGACGAGAAAAACTACCAGTTTCTCTTAATCTTTTTGCCTTTCTTTCAAATACTTCTTTGCCATAGGATATTTTACAAAATATATACGTGAGGCAATAGCGGCATTTTGGTGACATTCCAAGTAAACCCCAATCATATCATACAATTTAATATGAATTACTAATATTACCAATATTAATATCTATTGAAAAAAGTGCAATCTTTAATTCGAATTAGAATATAGCACTTCTTAACAATGTTTTGACTGCTGTCAATAAATAAACAATATGAACTCCCGTCAAATTCATTGTCGTAGCCTACTTAGTTTGGAAAAAAACTATTTTTTACCAAATAGGTATCAACATTAAGATTCTTCTGCTATAAAAAAAATTGAAAATACCTTCTGACTTGTTTTTTAATGTAATTTATAATACAGGGTGTGTCAATACTATACTTATTTATGTTTATGAGTTTTTATTCATATCTCGAGTTCAACAAAAGCTATTAACATGCGGTTTGCTCCATTTTGTTACGAATTTAATCCAGTTCCATTATAATTTACAATAAATAGCTGTTTCTATTAAAAATTTTAAAGAAAAACAAATTTTAATTTTTTTTATTTGCAAGTCCCCCCTACCTACAACTATTAAAACTAAATGCAAGTATTTTACAGTAGGTATAAATTATTTCATCCACACTTTTTCTAATGACACTAATTTCATTAAAATCGGTTGATCCAAACCAAAGTTATAGGTATTTATCCACAATACTTTCCCACTCTCCCCCACCCTTTATTTGAAAAAATAAAAAAAAAAGTACTTGAACAACTTTGTGCATAATTTATGCCTCTTTCTAGTTTACTGATTTAACACTTGATATAATTAGACATATTTCCCAAAAAAACTGGTTTTCAAAATTTTCTTCGCAGGTTACGCCCCCTAGCGGTTAATCCAGAATCTTGAAAGTTATTTCCAGTGATTTTTCTTGGCCACTTTTACAAAGGAATTTTTTCTCCTAAAGTTATAACATGAACAGTTTCTGATATATAGCCGAGAGATCGGCTTATTGGACCACCCGATACATGCAAAATTTTACAGGCCACCTAAAACCTATGAGTATCTTATCAATACAGGTGTAATGGCACATACAGTACTGCTTCTGACAATTATGTATAAATTTATTAAAGAATCACTGATATTGCTGCAGCAGGATCATTTTCTTTTCTTTCCACTCGATCTTCGGGTTTGTGAAAACGTAGATATCTTAAGTCCTGGTAAATACGAGTTATTTGTATAAAGATATGTTTCTCTGTTCTCGTTCTCTGTACAAAAGGTTGTGACGACCACTTAAATCTATTTTTACGATAATAACTAGTTCTATTTTTAACTACTTCACCACTTTTAGAATCGGATTTGTCAGACAAGTCACCACTAGATCCCTCAGTATCATCTTCTAATACCGAATCCGTGCCATGCTCACTTTCAATGTCATATATTCTTCCTTAAGTTCCATCTTCTATCGAAGGTTGGAAATCATCATGGCTATGCGGACTCTGTTGACTGCCGCTCTAAAAAGTTCTGCACTACTGCATTCAAACCATTCCCTTAAGTTCTTAAGCCACGATATTCTTCGTCTTCCCACATTTTGCTTTCCTCGGATTTTTCCCTGCATAATAAGTTGTAATAATGGGTATTTTTGCCCTCTTATCACATGTCCCAAGTACTCAAGTTTTCGTCTTTTAATTCTTCTTCTTCAGGTGCCATCTCCGCTACGGAGGTTGGCAATCATTCAAAATTCGTCTTCTTCCGATGCTTCTTCTGCCATCTATTTTTCCTTGCATTATGAGTCGCAGGATGCCATACTTATCGCCCCGCATCACATGTCCGAGATACTGTCTTTTAATAGTTAATATTATTTCCGCCTCATTTCCTATCCTTCTAGTTACTTCCATGTTTGACATTCTTTGAATCCATGATATTCGTAGGATTCTTCTATAACACCAAAATTCAGAGGCGGCCAGCTTATTCAGATGAACTTGTTTTAGTGCCCAAGCTTCCAGACCATAAAGAAGAGTAGAGAACACGTAACATCGAAGCATTCTCAGGCGTAGTTCTAACCTTATATCCCGACAACAAAGAAACTGTTTAAGTTTAATAAATGATGTACGTGCTATTTCAATACGTGTCTTAATTTCTTTGGTTTGGTCTACATCTGATGTTATCCATGTTCCTTAATATTTATAGTTATTAACATTCTCAATTGCAGTATCTTCAATAGTCAATTGAATATTTGCATGTGCAGATTTAGTCATGATCATACATTTAGTTTTATTTAAATTTATCTTCAGTCCGTACTCATGACAGCGTTCATTAATGCGTTGCATTAGGTTCGGTAAATCATTGTTGTTATCCGTAATTATTACTGTATCGTCTGCAAAACGTAAGTTATTCAAAACTTCTCCATTGATAGATATACCTTCTATTGAGTCTGAGAACGCTTCTTGAAATACCACTTTACTGTAGACATTGAAAAGTAGTGGGGACAGCACGCAACCCTGGCGGACTCCTCTCTGTATTTTGATATTTTCGGTGTACTGGTTGTCAACTCTTACCTTGGCAGTTTGATTCCAATATAAATTAGATATAATTTTCAGATCACGACTGTCAATATTTTTGCTTTTTAATATATTTACAAGCTTTTTATGTTGAACTTTATCAAATGCCTTTTCAAAGTCTACAAAATATAAGTACATATCCTGATTCATGTCCATGCATCTCTGAGCCGGCACATTCAAGCCGAACAAAGCATCTCTTGTACTCATACCATTTCTAAAGCCAAATTGTGTGTCACTAATCTCATATTCAAGAGTTTTAACAATTCTGCTGTGAATTATTTTCAAAAATGTTTTAAGTGTGTGACTCATTAAAGCTATTGTTCTGTGGTCTGAGCAAGTTGTTGAACTTGGTTTTTTGGGAATTGCTACAAAGGTTGATTGCAGCCATTGTCTGGGGATTGTGGCAGCCTGATATATTAGATTAAAGAGTTCAACCATTACATCAATAACATCTTCATCGATGAGTTTTAATAATTCGATGGACACCTCATCTGGTCCAGTAGCTTTACCCTCTTTTGTGTTTTTGATGGCATAGATGACTTCTTCTCTTAATATTGGTGGTCCAGTATCCTCGGTGATTTCTAATGACAGTTCTTCTCTTTCATCATTAAATAGTTGTTAAATGTAATTGGTCCAGTGACATAATCTCTCCTTCATATCAGTAATAATATCCCCTTTATCATTTTTAAGGATATTTGTTTTTGTACGCTTTCTAGAACCTGTCATTTCTGTGATTTTTTTGTGTAAATTAAAGCTATCGTACTTTTTATCCAGATCTTCTATTTCCTTGCATCTATCGGAGAGCCACCTCTCTTTTGCCTCTCGAATTTTCTTTCTAATGTTTCTCTGAATTTCTTTGTATTTATTCAGGTCTTTTGCTTTATGTTTTCTTCGTTCTTCCATGAGTTCAAGAATTTCTACTGTCATCCAAGGTTTTGTTTTTTTTTAAGTGGTTTGAGGGTTTCTTTTCCAACTGACACAAGGGCATGTTGAATTTTTCCCCATTTTTGGTCAATAGTTAGAGTTTCTACATTATCTTCTTTGACTTCCCTTAAGCTCTCGTTTATTTTAAATTTGGTTTCCACATATGTGTTGTCTTGTTTGAGACGTCTTGTATCTATGATTTTCTTGGTGCTAGGGCTGTTGACCTTCTTTAGTTTCACTCTCATCGATAAAACAACCGGGTTGTGGTCGGAGGATATGTCCGCTCTTGGATAAGTTTTAGATGATATTATAGAATTTCTATATCTTCTGTTGACGATAATATAATCTATTTGATTTCTGACTATTTTGTTGTTATTGTCAGCTGGTGACCTCCATGTATATAGTCTACATTTAGGAAGTTCATAATGTAAAATGTCATATATAGAGCAACCTAATTCTTCCACATCACTTTCACTTTTCTACCTCGTTATGTCATGCTAACAGAGTTTCCTTACAGTTTTTATCACCGTGATGTTCTGTTTTGGTTGGACTTGTCATTTTGAATGTCAAGTTATTTTTACAAAACCATCTTCATATGGGAACTAGATAGATACATTTTAACATATTTATTAATATATATATATATATATATATATATATATATATATATATATAATATATATATATATATATAAGCAACAGAACGTTATATTTATTATTTTTTTTACATTCTTAGCGAAAATGCTGCTGCTCTTGTAAAGGCTTTAAGAGATTTACTCGAGGCAAATAAAAATCCGGAACACCTCCTTAAAATTGTTGTTGAAAAGTAAGTCATATCTATAAGTAAGTATTTATAAGTAAGTCATGTTCTATTTTATAACATTAAAATATTATAATTATATATAATAAAAATTACTAAACAATGTTGCTAGCTGTTTTCACAATCTAATTTGTGTCAAAAAGAAATATTACTCAAAATGGTAAAAATTAATTAAAAAAGTATGTTTAACAAAAATAGATATAGATATAGAAAAACAGCAAAACAGATTTTACATTAAGCGAGCTTAGAATTCCTCTATTTGAAAGATCTACCATAAAAAATTGTTTCATCTACAATAATTTCCGCCAGTAGAAAATGCTGGGTATAAGCATTGTTCGATAGTTTGCTATCAAATACAAGTTTGACTCCCAAATAATCTTAATTCGTTACAATTTGGTTAACAAAAGAGTAAGAACCGATTACAAGCGATCACACTTAACGAAAAAATGAGTCCTCCTGAGCTGACAGCGAGTACCTATTTCATGTAAAGGTATATAAGAATCTGGGTGCAGCAAACAGTGTGGTTGTTCGCGGTCTTGATGGTCTAAAATGTACGCGAAAATGTGAAATTTGTAATGTAGATAGCTGCAATAGTAATTATCCGATTGATGATGACATTCAATTATAAATTATATAAATAAACAACGAAAAATTAGTTCATAACAATGATCTTAATTCTAAATTGATGAAAAGTACTAATATTAATTGTAATATAAAGATCTGCTACACCTGACCGAACAAAAGAGGGTACAAATTGAAATTAAGTCCAGAAAGTGGGGTTGGATCAGTCACACACTTCGAAAAAATAGTTCCAGTATCGCAAAGACTGCCCTAGAGTGGAATCCCCAAGGGAAAAGAAAAATGAGGTGGCCCAGTACAAACTTAAAGAAGATCCATCATGGACGAGATAAGAGGCCAAGGAAAGTCTTGGAATGAGGTGAAAGCTTTAGCGCAAAATAGAACCCGATGGCGCGTTTTCACTGAAGCTCTATGCTCCACTTAGGAGTTTAAGAACCTTGTATATATATATATATATATATATATATATATATATATATATATATATATATATATATATATTTATATATAATATAAACATGTTAAGCCCATGTGTACCACACTGGCACACACTCTAGTTTTATCTGGGACCGTGTGTACATATCAGGCCACAGCAAAGTGTCTTGTTCCTAAAGCTGTGGCTCGTCGAGGATCGCATTTGCCGTGCTTTCTTATGTATAAATTTGTGTAAACGGTCTGTGGTAAACAAAATCAGAGGTTGGTCCATTAAATCACGTATTCACAAAGAGGTTAGGTTATAATTTCTGACATACTTCAGTCAGTATCGGTTTAAACGTCTAACGAGGCTAAGACTATTTTCTCTTCTGTTTTTTGTTAAAAAATGGTACAAAAAAAGAAGAGAATGTTCCATAAAGAACTATCCGAAAACCAACTTCGCAGAATTTTGCAAAACCTGAATGCCTGAAAGTACGTTTTATGATTCCGATGCAGCGTACAATGAAAATGTTACTCATGGTTCTTCAGACTCATGCAGTAGTAAATATGAGTCTCGTAAAAAAAAAGTTAAAATTTGCAATTAAATATAAAATTTCAAAGAGTTTACTGCAGGCCTAGTTCTAACCAAAAGAAGCCTGATACAAGAAGGATGGGTAAGTTAGCTGGGAGGTCAATTTCTGTTTGTAGTTTACTTTTTTTTGCTTTGTAGAAAAAGCTCTGCCAAGATGTGCCAAATCCAGATGACCTCAATAAGTTTGAACTACTCTTTACTTCAGGAATGAATCAGGAAGAAATTGGATAACTTACAGACCACAAAATAGATTTCTACCTACTGTTTATCGACCGTCAAGTGCAAGATTTTTTGGTTACTGAAACTAATAAATACGCAGAACTAACAATACTCGCTGGTATTGTAAATGAATCAATAACGAAACATTCGCTTATGAGTAACTGAAGACAATTGACAGAAAAGAATTAGACAGAAAACTCGAACTCAGAGATTATGGGAGTACCAATTTACTTTACAAGAATGAAGTTTCTAAAATGTGTGAAAGAAGTAAAAGTCGATATGAAATAATATTCACTTCTTTCACATTTCAGATAATAAGAGTTGCCCACCTGAAAACAGACTCTACAAAATTTCTCCTCTTGTACAAATACTAAATGAAAAGTTTCAGAAAATGTATACTCTATATGTATACTTTCAGAGAATAATGATGAGAATTTGATTCTCTCTCCTGTTACTGACAAAGAATGTAGAGCGTAGAACCATTTTAATTAATTTTAAACTGTTTGTCTTTGTTTTAGTGTAGTGTTTTGTACAATTTTATGTTAAAATTCATGTTTATCACATTCTACGCTTGCTAGATAGCCCAAATTTGACGAAATGTCCCTGAAGATGCTGTAGTAAGCGAAAGTACTTTTGCAAGAGTTGATGTAACTTGTGCTCGAAATTTCCTTAATTTTCAAAATTCATTTATTTGAGCATTCAACCTTATATCAATTATTTAATAAATGTTTATAATTATTTTAGGCTTTTATATTTTAAAATAATCACTGTATAAGAGACAACTGTCAATTCTAAAATCCATTAGTATCATGTCTAATTGGAAAATCTTTTACGTGTTTTGTTCATACGCTGGTGTACGTGAGTTCGAATCCCAATATGAATTCTCTTTTCTATTTTTGAAATTTTTAAAAACCTCATGTTAATGTTTTTAAATATATGTAATATACGCAAAAATGCTTAATTTTAAAATAAAATGAAAATTTACAACATAATCCGAGTTGTTGGTTTTTTATTTTTATCCTCGTAAAGTAAGTTATGTATATTGGCAGTATTAAATACTTATGAATATTGCATTTTAATTTTATTTTTTTATTATTGAGTTAATGCCTCGACAACTAAGATCATTGGCATGGTACAGTCAGGTACCTAGTGTAGTGTGTCTGTGTGTGTGTAGAGTAATTGTCTTGATACTTAGCAAAGTCGACTTCATTGTCTTTGCTAAGAAACGGTAATTGTATCCGAACGTCTGCGGTCCCTCCGGTGAGTACCGATCGCACAAGGATAGAAATTATTTTCATTTATTAATTTTTAATAAACAAAAATTTCTCCACCCAAATGAGCGACCTTGAATGTAACCAAAATCATACAAAAACGATTCAAGTTTTTTATCGTTTTCATTTAAAAACGCTCTAGAATGAATATCAACAAAAATTTTAAAATCGTACATACCGTAACATGGGCGTAGATGTATTATTTGTACGTATTCCAAACTTTTAGACATATGTGTATGTCATAGGTTTAACCTGAAAATTGGGAGGTCCAAAATTGTCAGATGAAGGCGGTAGGTGTCGCCTCAGTCACGCACGGAGCGAATACTATAGGTTAATATATGTTACAATCAACACCAGCTCTGTTACTATTGACACCAATAAGGTGTCAATTGTAACGCATGAGGTAACCTGACACAAAGGGTCATAATTTCATTTTTGTAATACATAAGCAGATTTAGAGCCAAAGATACTGTGTAGTAGAGTCAAATGAACTTAGTCAAAAAAAAATCAATTTGTCACATTTGTTACAACCGACACTAGTCTCCCCTACATTACTCCAAAAAAGATACACTTACTTTACTTTATCGTGTCCGGACATGTCATTCATAAAATTTCGGCCCAGTATCGGGCTACGTCGGTTCCATCTTTGTTGGCGAGCCACAAATCTTCAAGGGTACATCGATGGGGACAGTTTCTGCATGTAAGAAGATGTTCCATATTCTGTGTTTCTCCACAGTCACAGTTCACATCTATCTATCTATCTATCTATACAGCCCTTAAAATCCATCCTTGGATATAGGCCTCCTCCTCCTTCTTCCATGCCTCTCTATCTTGGGCAATTTGCATCCATTTTGACCCGGCGTGTTTCTTCAGGTCATCTGACCATCGCATTTGTGGCCTTCCCCTTTTACGTTTGTGATTCCATGGTCTCCAATGTATAATTGTTTTAGTCCATCTTTCATCTTTCTGCCTTAGGGTGTGTCCGGCGAACTTCCATTTAAGCTTTGCTACTTGGGTTGAGACATCTTTCACTTTTGTTTTATTACGGATCCATTCGTTTCTTTTTTTTGTCTGATAGTTTAATGTTCAGCATTTGTCTTTCCATGGATCTTTCTGTCTTTGCTATTTTTTCCATATTTTCCTTTGTAAACGTCCATGTCTGAGAGCCATATGTGAGGACAGGGAGTATACATTGATTGAAGACTCTGGTTTTTTAAGTATTGGGGGTATTTTGAATTCTTTAGAATATAAGACAGTTTTCCGAATGATGCCCAGGCCAATCTTATTCTTCTCTTTATTTCTTCGGTCTGATTTTCTTTATTTAATTTAGTGATTTGGCCTAGATATATATACTCTTTTACTTGTTCTATTTTTGTTTGTGCCACTGTAATCATAAGTTCTTCTGGTTGATTAGTCATGGTTTTTGTTTTTACTATAATTCATTTTGAGTCCAATTTTTGTCGATTCTCTATCTAGTTCTTCCATCATTCTTTGTAATTCTTCACTTTTTTCTGTTATTAATACAATATCATATTGTATGATATTGTACAGTTCACATCATCTTGGTTTATTTTTCCCCATTTTGCCATGTTTGATTTTACTGTAGCAACCCCCGTTCTTATCCTATTTAAGGTTTTCCACGTTTTAAAGTCTAGGGTCTGGCCGGCCCATTGAACCTGGGGAAGTGGAAAATACTCAGGCGGTTCATCCTTCACTGTTCCAAGAAAGCTTTTCCTAGATTTTAGTCGCTTTCGTGGTGTTCGAGTTTTGTACAGGGCATGCCGATCGTCTGCGATCTGTTTAATTTTCTCTATGTGTTCTGCAGCGCCTCTGCGTGTTGAGGGTTCTGCAAAACCCGCTGCTCTATATAGATTTGAAAGTGGCGTTGGTTTCATGCACCCTGTTACTATCCTGCATATCTCATTTAGCGCAGTATCAACTTGTTTGGTGTGGACAGATCTGCTCCAAACGGGGCATGCATATTCAGCAGTTGAGAAACACAGTGCCTGTGCCGTTGTTCTTAAAACGCCAGGACGTGCGCCCCATTTACTTCCCGTTAGCTTTCTGAGTATGCTGTTCCTAGTTGTTACTTTCCCTCTTGTTTTTATGCAATGTTGTCTGTAGGTGAGGGACCGGTCCAGAGTTACTCCAAGATATATAGGTTGGTTTGTGTGTTCTAATGTATTACCATTCCACACAATTTGGAGTTTTCGCTTGGCTTCCTTTGTGCGAAGGTGGAAAGCGCAGACTTGGGTTTTAGAGGGATTGGGTCTCAGAGAATTCTGCAGGTAGTACGCTGTCATTGTTTTTAAGACAGTTTCGAGTTTCTCCTCCACTTCTTTAAAACTATTTCCTTGAGCACATATTGCAAGATCGTCAGCATAGAGGAAGTGCTTGGTTTCGGTCGGAGTAGGTTGATCGTTTGTGTATATATTGAAGAGCATTGGTGCTAAAACACTTCCCTGTGGGAGGCCGTTTTTTTGAACTCTCCACCTACTTACTTTACCCTTCAGCATAACGAAAAAACGTCTATTTTGCAGTAAGGAATATACGACCTTTCCCAGATGGTGGTCATTGAGAGTATCGTATAATTTGCGGAGCAATGTTTTGTGCCTTACTGTGTCATAGGCTGCTGTCAGATCTACAAAAGCAGCCCCTGTTATAATTTTTTCTTCAAAACCCTCTTCAATGTGTTCTGTTAATGCGAGGACTTGACCGGTGCAAGATTTGCCAGGTCTGAATCCTCCTTGTTGTGGGATGAGGTGCTTGTCGACATTTTTTCTATTCTGGCGAGTATGAGTCTCTCGTATAGTTTAAAAAAGTGACACAATAGCGAAATAGGTCTGTAGCTACTGGGGTCTTCTGGATCCTTTCCTGGTTTTAACAAGGCTATTACTTTAGATTTCCTCCATGATTTTGGAATTTTGCAGGTTTTGCAGCACGTGTTATAAAATTGCAAGATCCAGTTTTTTGCTCCTTGGCCTAAATGCTTTATTTGTTCACTGCATATATCATCCACACCTGCAGCTTTCCCGTTTTTTGACCTGTTCAGACCGTCGTGAAGTTCTTTTAGAGTAAAAGGAGTTCCTAGGTGGTTTGTCTCCGAATCCAATCTTCTCCTAGTGTTTGGGTCCTTATATCGGTTCGTAGTTCTTCCATTCGTAAGGAGTTGAGTAGCGACTTGGTTTGCTGTAACCTTGCAAGGTGGTTTATGTTCTTTTGGATCACCGCTGAGTTTTTTTACAAGGTTCCATGCTATTTTGCTACTATGTGTCATGTCCATTTTTTCCAGGGTCTCAATCCACTTTCCTGTCTGGCTTGACTTAGCTGTTGGAGTAGTACTGCTCCGCAGTCAACCGTTTCTTGGCTAAAAGGGTCAGTGGAATAGAGGGTTTCGTATGTACTCATTAGTTCTTTGGACTCGCTGGACATCCCGGGAACGTATTGTTGTCTACATCCTCTAGGGATAGTTTTTCTAGACACATTTTTGAGTACCTCTACGAATTTTTCGTAGTTCGAAAAAAGATACAAAAATGCCAATTTATGCTAACATTATGTATGTCATTTTACCTATTAAATGTTGTTATAAAACTAAATTCAATATTTGTTACAAGATGGTTAAGTTGTACTGATATCGTACTCCTAGTTTTTAATAAAAACAAGTGGTTTTATTAAATAGTTTTTTAAAAGTAAAGTGTTTATCTACTAGATACTACTACGTAAGATATCTATACGTAATTATTATTTTATTAGTGTGAAAAGAAAACGTCAATAATAAATATACTACCGTACAATCATTTTGTGAGGTTAGCTGTTATAAGTACCTTATAGTAGCATGCGGTTAGTTTTTCACTTACCAGAGTCGGAGTAAGGCTTTCGCCGCCACAGCTTAAAATGACTTCACAAAATGTAAACACACCTTCCGATCTAACCAGTACAGTAAATCAACGTTCGAATATCACAAACAGTTATGCTTCAGCCGCTTCACACTCTTTTCCTAGTAAGACCCAAGCAATTGTATTTAGTTGCATCGATAATGCTAAACTGCAGGATTATCTCATTCCGTTGGGCACAATCATCAACCCAAAAAATATTATTTTTTCATCTAGATTATCTCATAATAAAATCTGCATGTATTTGGCAAACAAAACCGTAGTAGATAACTTCATGACACAACATGGCACTATAGAAGTACTCGGCGACGTTTTAACAGCACGAAGACTTGTCTCACCAGCAGAAAGACTAGTCTTGTCTGAAGTCTGCCCGTCAATTCCTCATCCAGTATTAGTTGAAGAATTACAAAATATCGGTTTTAAAGCTTATTTCCCCAATATTGTTTTTGAAAATTAGCTCGACTCTCCCCGAATATAGTCACATATTGAGCTTTCGGAGGCAAGTTTATATAAGCCCTATAACATCACCAATTCCAGATTCTATTCTAATAAATTTCGATTAAACACCTTACCGCACATTTTTGTCACAAGGTACACTTACCTGCTTTATTTGCAAAAATACAGGACACATATCATCCCAATGCAATGACAGTTCAGTAACGGAATCAACTCATATTGAGTCAAACAATGAAGTACCAAATCAAACAGCTTTAACAAGTATACTACACAAGGTACCAAACACCCAGCAGTCATCAAGTTATCCATTATCAAATCCAAGCATATCACCTACACCTACAAATCTCCATGACAAAGAAATTACTAATACTCCTACTTATCGGAACACTTTCAGTCAACCTCATTCAGCGGCAATACCGTTTTCACAAACTTCGGAATCAATATCCTCCAATCTATCAGCTCCTTTTTCATTAGATACAACTGCAGAAAATTCTAATAAAACTGATACATCAAGACAATTTTCTGAAACAACCATTTCAACCAATCTTACAAATAAAACTTCAAGCTCGAGTTTTGTCACTACCAATGAGTTTGCTCCAGTACTTCCAAATGTAATAAAGCCACAGCATCTAAGTGAAAACTCCAATAGCAATTACAAAAACGCAAGTTCTTCCATAAAACGCAGTATTGGTAAGATCGTCACGCCTCCTTCAGACTGACAATACTGATTGATAATGTACAAGGCTCCTCCGACACTATTAGCGTCGTCAAAGAATTTACAACTGATATGGATGGTTTACTCCATCTTTTACAAAGCAACTATCAATATGCAAATGATAGATCTACAAAAGGCAAGTTTATAAAACTTCAAAAGAAACTACACAACCATTTAGAGAAAGAGATTTCTGACTTAGATAGTGACTCTTCTGTAGACAATTGTTCAGTATCATCTAACTCCGAATCTGTTAACAACGTTCAACTCGATACTTCAATGGAACATTGATGGATTTTTTCATCGTCTTCCTATGCTACAGCTTCTTTTATCTAAATATTCTCCAGATATTGTTATTTCTTATGAACATGGAAGAAACTTCCAATTTTTATGGGTTCCCTCACACGTCGGAATAACAGGAAATGAAGAAGCTGACAGGACTGCACGAGAGGCAATTTTAAGTGGTTTGTCAAAACCGATAGACAAGTGTGTTTCCAGTGACTTAAAAGCTTATTTCCAGGTCTCAAACTAAATTCAATCTAAATAAAATCAAAAATAATGTGTCTCAGTGGTTTCCATCGTCGCTCAATAGACGAGAACAAATTGCGGTTGCTCGTTTACACCTAGGACATACCAGATTAACGTACGTTACCTTTTCACAAAGAAAAATCCACCTATATGTGATTAGTGTAACGTCCGATTAACAGTCGAACATTTTTTAACAATTTTTAGTAAATATGACCAAGAAAGACAGCTCTACAAAGGATCACAAACGCTCTACTACAGGCTCTAGGTCAAAACTGTTCCTGTAACAATATAGCGAATTATCTTAGATCCATAAACATTTTGTACAATCTGTAGGTGTTTAACTTTGTTTTTTATATTTTGTTCCGTCGCTAATAACCTTTTGGTGGATGCGAAATCTTTTTCTAATAAAAAAAATATTTGTTACAAGATGCAAATGACCAGTTTATTTATCCGTTTTTTTTTTTGTAGAGCTCAAACTATAAAAGATGTAATTACAGTAACTACTAAAACACGTAGCCGACTTCCAGATTTGCAGACTTTGTTAAAAACTTTCTACTATGGATTGGGATCCGTAGTTAAACTTTTATTACCTCCTAATAAGGATGTCTTCGATGTAAGTTTATTGTTTTTAAATATATTATTAATATCTAAAATTATCTATATGATGTCATAAAGATTTATCGTACTACCAATTAAATATCGAAGTTATGTATATTTTTTTGTGAAAGAGGATAGGCATTTAATTCAATCCATTTAAAAATTAATTTTAATTAAGTTTTTACTGTTTTCTTGAGTCGTTAGTCACGAAAATGCCAAAAAAATGTAAGGTGAAATGGGTAAACTGTGGATTGGGGTAACTGTGGCCCCCTTAATGTCTTTTTAATTTACGAGATCTTATAAAATTTGCAGTACATACTTGTTTAATCTCTCCGGCAGTGCCGGATAAAGGGGGGGTCTATGGGACTCTTAGCCCCCGGCGGTAAATTTTGAGAGGCGGTACGTCGCTCCCATCACGTTTTAATTCTATATGTAGATATTTCACATTTATGGGGTTGATTTTCTGAAATATCATGGTAATAATAATAAATTACGTAAGATGCCACAAATAAATAGCTTCAGAACAATATTAATAAAACTTCGTCTCGTCACCGATAAGATCCGTGCCTGCAGTCACAAAAACACGTTTCATGTTTCAGGGAAATCCACTGCGCTTGGCGACAGCGTGTCTGGCTCCAACACGGTATGTCGTCAATCGTTAGTCGTGTTAGCGCAGTTTTCGAGACTAGTCTCAAATTTTACTTATTTTTATTAGTGAAGTGTTTTCGTGACGTTTCTTTAAAATGAGCGGAAAGAAAGGAGGTGCATTTTGGAAGCGACAAAAGTTAGAAAAGCAACAAAAATTAAATGCAGTATTAAAAAAACCCTCAAGATTCAGCTTTTTTTTACCAAATCCAGGCAAGATAGTATACCAACGAGTACTTCTTTTCAAGACGATCCAATTGCAACAGTTTCAGATGTTTTAGAAGGTAGGTTTATTTGACTGTTTTAGTTACTTTTTTAATAAAATAAAATTTGCAGCAGGATCTTCATCACGTCGAGATGATTCATCCACAGCAAATTCAGACCCACTTTGTGATATCGAGTTACATCCTGAAAAGAGTTCTCCTGAATGTCAAATTCTAGTCGAAAGTGGTGTTAATCGAGTTGATTTACAAGATCCAAAATTCTGGCCAAGAAATTGTGTAGATGAAGTGCTGAAAGAATTCAAAACACAGGATCTTAATTCTTTAGACTTAGTATATTCAAAAAGAAAAATAGGAAACAAAACAGGTACCGCACTAAATCACTATTTTATAAGGTTTTAAAGAATGGTGAAAAAATTCGGCGTGACTGGTTAGTTTATTCCAGAAGCACAGGCTCTTTATTTTGCTTATATTGACGACTCTTTTCAAGCGAAAATTGCACTTTTTCCTTTTTTACTGGATTTGACGACTGGAAAAAGGCTAAAGAAAAATATGACAGTCATGAAAGATTAGTCGTTCATTTAGAACATCTTAAAAATTTTATTTCAAGAAATTCATTGAGTATGAAAAAGATCGATGATTCTTTGCGGCAACAGATTGAACATTAGACCACTATTGACAAAACATGTTATAAAGAGTCGTTTGTGTCATAAAATTCTTAGCTAGTAGGGGACTACCTTTTAGAGAAACCGACGAAAAATTTGGTTCGACTAGCAATGGCAATTACCTTGGGTTACTAGAGTTGTTGGCGGAATATGATCCCCTTTTAAAAGAACATATTGAAAAATATGCTTAAAAAGGCTGTGGTTCAGTATCTTATTTATCAAAAACAATTTGTTTTGAATTTTTGAAATTGCTTTCGGACCACATATTAGAAGAAATTGTAAAACAAATTCATTGTGGCAAATATTATTCAATCAGTGTTGACTCTACGTCTGATATAACACTTACAGATTAACTGACATTAATTATTAGGTATTGCTCGGACACCGGAACACCTGTCGAGACGTTCATACAGTTTTTAGACAACACTGGCTACATAGCCGAAGATACGGAAGCCAGCATTGTAAAAATTTTGTCCAACCTGAATATAAATATCGATGACTCCAGGGGACAATCGTATGACAATGCGAAGAACATGTCTGGCGTTGATAGCGGTCTCCAAGCCCGAATAAAATCTAAGAATAGTTTGGCAAAATACGTACCATGTGCAGCCCATTCCCTAAATTTGATTGTGCAGCATGCAGCAGAATGCACTATGGAAAGTACTTCTTTTTTTTAGTTGCTGAAGAAATTTATCTTTTTTTCTCAGCTTCAACTTACAGATGGAAACGACTCACTGATCTATTGAAAAATTGTGGCCATACAACATTTGTTCCAAAAAGAGTTAATGTGACTCGATGGTCAGGGCGATTTATAAAAGCTCCTAATTTATGCTATCAAGATATAAAGCAAGCACTTTTAGAGTTTCACTTCATCCGCTAACGATGACGAGAAGATGACAGTACGCTGTCAAGCAAACAATTTACACGAAAAGATGGCTACTTTAGAATTTGGTATTTATGTTGCCTTTTGGCTCGAAGTACTGGAAAGAACTGACCTAGCGAGTAAATCTTTACAAAGCGCAAATATGGACTTACATACATGTTCGTCTTTGTATAGCTCATTACAACATTTTTACGAGTCTCTTCGTGATAAATGTAATTTATTTGAATAAAAGGGGCAGATCACAACAAACGAAATACAGCAAAGAAATTAGAAGTCGCAAAAGAAAATTACAGTTTAACGAAGCATATACAGAAGAGAACCTTACACCGCAAAATAAGATTAGAAACCAAGTGCTGTATAAAACAATTGATTATTTGGCAAATAATCTGAAATCTAGAAATCTAAATCTTTTATTTTCTCTACCTCTTTCAGAGGATAACGTGATTTCAGACAAAGCGTCGGTATTAGTGAATATTTATTCGAATGACTTGGATACATCTTTACCAAGTGAGTGAATTCAATTAAAACATTTTATAATGTCACTACTAGACCAAGTTGAGTATAAAAATCCAACAAATCACAGTGCTACTTTTGTGATGGAGCTATTGCATAAAAATAATATAATTGCCACCTTCCCAAACGTAGAAATAGCACTAAGAATCTTCTTATCGTTGATGGTTACTAACGCAACTTGTGAAAGATCATTTTCCACTTTAAAACGGGTCAAAAATTATTTGAGAAATTCGATGACGGAAGAAACATTAAATTCGTTCGCTGTTTTAAATATTAATAATGATCTGCTTACAAAATTAGATTTTAATAAAATCATTGACCTGTTTGCAAGTAGGAATTACAGGAAAATTTGTTTGTAAATAATGTTAATTTACTTTATAAGTTGTGAGTTTGTGTCTTTGTGGCTTTTTTGTATATTTGTAATAAATTACGTAATAATATTAAAATAGTTTTAATGAATTGTTAACCTAAGGCAAGGCGCTCACCAACGTGGCAACAAAATGGCGTGGCAATGGCGAGTGAGTGCTGTGGTGTCTCAGTGACAGATATAATTGTTAAACTTTTATAAACATAATGTAGTCGCACGTATTGAAAGGTCGCACGTGCGACTACATATGTTTATACATTTTACCTGCCACTGGGACACCACAACACTTGTTCGCCATTGCCACGCCATTTGGTTGCCACGTTGGTGAGCGCCTTGCCTAAGACGCATCTATACCTACTAGAGAGTGGCGGTATAGTATGAATTAGCCCCCGGCGGTCCATGAACTAAATCGGGCACTGCTTTCCGGTAGTAACTAGTGACATCAGCTACCAAAACAAAGATTCAGTTAGCAACTAAAACTCTGACCGTCATGTTTTTATCTAAGTAAATTGCGTAGCAATTGGGTTAAATTTAAATTTGAAAAACTTAATTCATTACAGAAGCAGTGCTTATTTTCAATAAATGCTTCTGAAATTAAACTTCAGGCGCCATCTAGTGCTGAGTAACCGGAGTATGAGAAGAATAGTTTGGTAATTAAGGAGTCCACAGTTACCCAGACATGGCTCACGATCGGTGCAACTGTGGACGGCGATACCGGGGGAACTCTGATTCCAAAAGTTTATAGGTTAGTTTGTTTATAACTTATTCCTTGGGTGCAAAAATGCCAAGAAAATATATTAAAAAGACTATCAATCGTGGTGTCGGAAGTAGGTATTCAATAGAAGCATTAGAACTAGCTATAAGAGATGTGAAATCAGGAAAATCTTCACTACAGAATGCTGCAATGGAGCATAGCGTACCAAAATCGACACTCGGATTAAACGTGAATGACTGAAAAGGTAGACCAGCGGCAGGACATGTACAAGGTAATAAAAAAATTAGATACCTACTAGATTTTACTTTAAAAAAAAAATGAAAATCTATTACAGGTGTGATTGGAGGTGGTAGAACTGTTCTTTCTAAAGACGATGAAGACATTTTGGCTTCTCGGATAAAAACTATGAGTGTGGAGGTTTGAACCATCTCGCAAACAAATACTCAACACTGTACAGGAATATGTTCAGCAAAATCATCTGCAAACGCACTTCAGAGAGGGGAAGCCTGGTGAAGTTTCTGAATTTTTCAAAACGCAACTGACTTTCTGTAATAGACCTCACCACTTTCGGACACCTCAGATAATTGAAGCATCACGTATAAGACAACAAAGTAACCCATTGATTGTTTACGATTTCTTTGATCAACTGGAAACTATTACGAATAATTTACAACTTCAACAATACCCTGCTAGAATATGGAATGCAGATGAAACTGCTTTTACTTATAACCCCAACCGTACTAAGGTTGTAACTGGAATCGGAGTAGTAGCACAAAGGCAAACTGCAGGCTCAGGACGGAAAACAGCAACAGTTTTGGCATGTGCTAATGCCAACGGATCCATGTTGCCACTTATGATCCTCCACAAGGGCAAAAAGTTATGGCACAATATATTTGGTACAGATGAGTATCCAGAGACATCTTACTACGTATCCGAAAATGGATGGATGACTGAACAAGTATTTGTTCTATCTTTCAAAAATGTTTTTTTTAATTGCGTTGAAAGGTCTGCTCTTTTGATTTACGATGGTCATTTATCACATATTTCACCCAAACTGATTGCGTTTTCCATGGCAGAATATGTGACTATTCTTAAATTACCGCCACATACTTCTGCAATATCGCAGCCTTTGGATGTGTCTGTCTTCAAGGGGCTCAAGTCTTCATAGGATGCTTTTTAACAGATTGGCAGCGCTAAAATTTAGGAAAACAGTTAACAAAATGTGAATTTTTCAATCTGTTTGGAAAAGCTTGTTGCAGTATTCGAGATTCTGTTAAGTTAAGAACATGGCTTTAGAAAATCAGGTATTTTCCTCTAAATCTAGATTCCATTAACAAAGAAATATTTGATCCCGAAATGTTATAACGATATTATGAAGAGAAAAACATTCCTGACGGGTTCCTGAAAGTTCTACGGGTAAGCAAACTACGATCCCATGTACAACCTTTTGCAGCTCTACTGCAGAAAGCCAGAATTGCATTGCATCAACTTCCATTGCATCCTGGGAGAACATTCTACTAGCAACAGTGAAACCTTCTCCAAAGCTACATCAAAGAAAGAGGAAATGAATAGATGTTGCTAATGTGATCACAACTAAAACCTATTTAGAACACCTACAGTTTTCAAAAACTAAGATAAAAGCTTCAAAGAATACATTCAAAAAACAATCAAAAATAAGTAGTGACGATAAAAATTCCGAAGATGTCGTTTATGCAGAGAGTGACGACTCATATAAAGCTCCAAATGACAATATGGAAGAAGGTGCCGAACCTCAAGTTCAGGAGCCCAATGACGATAATATAATGCCCAAAAATACATCGTGGTACGAATAAACAAACGAGCAGTTACTTACTCGATTGGACTAATATGTAAAATTAATGCAGTGTAGAGTCGTGATAGTCAAATGTTTGAAACGATGTATGGGAAATGCCTTCAAATTTCGTGAGGAAAACGAGCCTATCTTGTTCGCTTATAATAAGATATTAGGAATACCGAACGACCCAAAATCAGAATATGAAAACGTCGTCCCGTTTTGTGAGGATTTAAGGAGATTCAAAAATATTGCCTAGCTGTTTGTTTCATGGTTTTTAATAAAAATTTTCGTTTCTGCATTTTAATGTTGCTTACACCTTTCATTATAATAACTACATAGTGAAGTTTACCAAGCAGACCACAGTCTCCCCGTCAGGGTCCACCGTTACCCTAAATTAACGGGTAACGACCCTTACGTGTGAAAGAAGAATGTCAATACTCTTCTCTCTCAATTCATTTTTCATCTTCTATTGAAGAAACAAAATATCATGCAAGGAAAAATAGCAGGCAAACGCAGTCCAGGACGAAGAAGAACCTCATGGTTGAAGAACTTGCGAGATTGGTATAGTGTAGATACAAGCATGCTATTTAGGGTGGCAGTGAATAAAATTAAAATAGCTATGATGGTAACCAACGTTCTGAAAGGACATGGTACATGAAGAAGATGATTGAAGAGAATATATTAATAGATTACTAATACATGTCCACAATTAAAAAGAAAGTGGTTTAAAACCCAACTAACTTCATTAGTAACTTCAAAAAAAAACTTTGTGTTTAAAATGTTTAAAAAAAAATTTTGTGTAGAATGAACCTGTCTCTCAGAAACAACGCTTGAAGTGACCGGCAATTTTGAATGTTTGTTACACGCGCCAAATCAATTTTAAATAAAATTGGTATCAACTCGACAGTAAAAATGGACATCTTTTGATCAGAGTGTTTTATCGACAAAAGTCAAAATGCGTTTCAAATGTTAAGAGTGCAGCGTTCGTATGCAGTTTATTTTGCCGAAAATGACGTGCGTAACTGACATTCAAAATCGCCGGTCGCTTCAAGCGTTATTTCTGCGAGAACGGTTCATTCTACAGAAAAAGAACAACGGCACAGGTACTGTGTTTCTCAACTGCTAAATATGCGTGCCCCGTTTGGAGCAGATCTGCCCACACCAAACAAGTTGATACTGCGCTAAATAAGACATGCAGGATAGTAACGGGGTACATGAAACCAACGCCACTTTCAAATCTATATAGAGCAGCGGGTTTTTCAGAACCCTCAACACGCAGAGGCGTTGCAGAACACATAGAAAAAATTAAACAGATAGAGGACGACCGGCATGCTCTATACAAAGCCCTAACACCACGAAAGCGATTAAAATCTCGGGAAAGCTTCC